GGTAGAGATGAAAGAAAAAGGAAGGGTACCAAGTTCAAAAATCTAAAAATCAGAAATGATTGTTATTATGACCAACAACATATTATGAATACACTTTTGGTGTTGATTAACATTGTAATTATCAGTATGAAATAATGAATGTATAAATTGACTTCTAAAATATAAAAATGTCTATTCATATATTTTCATAATTTCATTAAATATGTATTTAAAGCGATTCAATTCTGAAACAGGATAATCATAAAGAAAAAGATAAACACGTTGGAATTTTTTTTTGTTAGATTATAAGTCAGGGAGATATTAGACTATTAGTCCACAGACATTTTAAAAATACCTGGATGAGAAATCTCAATTATTACAAATCAAAATTATAAAACAATATACATTGTCTAACATTACGTCTATAGTATTCCACAATTGATCCAAAAAATTGGCAAAAAAATTCATGAAAATATTTCCAGTGGAAAAACAAACAGCATAAAAGAGCAAACATGTGCCTATGTTGACTAAAACATTAATTCTACATTGCATTCTTTAAACAAACAAGTTATCTCCCTTAAGAAAAATTACAGTTCTATAATTCAGGCTGGCTGTTCTCAAATTATAGAAAGTATTTTTTCCCATCCTTGAATGACTTGACTCAAGTGGATGAACAAATTATTTATAATTCATTAAGGTTAGTAATATTAATAAAACAGAAATAATATTTCTATTCTTTTGGTTACACTAAACCTCATTGTCATTATTCACAATAAGACATAATGTTTTTGTCAAAATATCACTTTTAAATCCTGTGTATTACACTATGGTTAAAAAAATTACATCAGCCATTTTTCAGTACTAGAAAAAGAAATGGAATTAAGGCTAAAAACCACTATTTAAATGTACTTAAAATTTGCATATAAAACATAAATGTTGAGGAAATTATTATCATACCTCTACAAGTTGGCATTACTCCACTCCATGTGCCATTAGTAGTACAAGTCCTGATTCTGGAGCCATTCAATTCCATTGTGTAGCCTGGCTGGCACATGTAAGAAACATTTTGTCCAACCACATAATCATCTCCATATCTCAGTCCATTGGCTGGTATACCTGGGTCTCCACAACTGATTACTATCAGTATTGGATTAGAAGAGCAGATGGTTAATGTGGCATGTATTTAATGAAGAGGAGTAGTAAGCATATGGCATACTTAATATATAAGTAGGGAAAATTAGTTATTGTATTCATTTTTAATCATAAAACATAAGCATATTTAAGCCATATACTGGCAATTCCAGATTGTGATCACAAATACTTATTACAGATTCTACACATATGGTTCAGAAACTGTTATTTAGAACCTGAAAAGGTTAGGTTAATATGCCATTATGTTATAGTGAACTCTAATGCAGTCACCTTTTTTACCTGAATTATAAGACCACGGAGAAATCATCCCATAGAATCAGATTTCTAACTTGATATTTGAAGTTGTTTCTTATATATGTCTATTGAAATCTCTAATTTACAGGCTTACTGAACTAAGAGCATGTTTTC